TGCTCTGGCAAGCCCTGCTCCTTCTGCATAAAACATGAGACTGGGGAGAGGCCGGGCTCTCCAGTCAGCTCGGCCTGGCCTCCCCGACACCTCTCCGAGCTCTGGCTGAGCAGGAGCAAGGCTGCTGTTGCTCCCCGGGTCCCTGTGCAAACTCGCGCTGATGGCCTTTCTCCACAGTCCAGATTCGGCCATAAAACAAAGAGGGACGAGAGATCTGGAGTTGGCGCGCCCAACTCCCTGCATAGTAATCTCACTGGGTTCAGGTTCCGGCGTGCAGAGCCAAACGGACCGATCCCCTCCCTTCCAACAGATTCCAGTGCAGATCCCTGCAGGAGGGCAGCAGGGGGACGTGATTGTCTGGGGCTGCTCAGGCGGCGGCCAGCCCGGACTCCGCTCCATGCCCTCCACGGTATATGCTTGTATCCCCACAGCCCCCTCTCCTCCCTCGCTAGGGTGAGGGCTCGGGAAGGTGCCAGTAACCGCCGCAGTGTCTCCAAAAGGATCTTCCGGCCGCGGAACAGGAGGAGAATGTTTGTGACTTCGGGGTTAAGGAAATTCAAGAAGTAGAACAACTCCCGCACCAACGGCGTGGCGAGCAGCGGCAACGGGGCAGGAAGAGGGGGTGAAGTCTTCATCCAATAAACTGTCTTCAATATGAAGACGGCATGGCCGGCTGTGCTCCAAAACGCAAAACCCACGGCTGGTCTCCCTCTCGGCTCAAGTGCCTTGGATTCAGGGAGCGCGTCCCATCCTGTGTGACCGTCCAGGGGCCGAGAAGCTCCACGCAAAGGGGAAAAACAGGAAGCCGGGCTGCACCGCAAACTAGAATCTTATCGACAAGATTCCCTCCGTCCATTCCAGTCCCAGAGTTCTCTGTGGTCAAACCTGAACCGGGAGGGTCTGGTTCATTTGCAATCTCATGTCCTGAATACTGCTCAGGATCTTCTTCTGATGTCCTGCGAGCGTTACCCCTATCCTGAGCAGGTCTCTGAAAGGACAAGAGGGGCCAGCGCTCGTAACAAGTCTCCAGATTCCTTCCAGAAGCCTGTGCTAGGGCAGCTGTGGCCAACCCATGGCTTGTGAGCCGCATGCGGCTCTTTTCCCCCCCCACCAGGCTGCATGTTCCAGTCCCTGCACTCACTCTTAAAGGGGACATGCTGTTTTAATGTTGTTTTAATTTTTTTTGGCTTAATAAGTCCTTGGAGTCCTTTTTTTTTTCCGTTCGACAACTTCTTTGGTCTCTCTCCCCCCTCCCCGTGGTACGTAAAGCACCTCCAAAAACGGCCCTCCTCCTGGCTCCCTGTGCTGACCCGGGCAGAGGAAATGTCCCAGACGACCATTAAAAAAGGAGAATTAAAGATGGTGTCTGCTGGCTGGAGCCTGATGTGGCCAAAAAGCCTCTAAACGCATTTTCTTAAAGGGGCAGAGCTTTTTTTTGGGGGGGGTGGGGGCTTACCCAAATACAACCAGGGGCTCCTTTTAAAGGGGTAAAAGTGGCAGAAAGGGGCAGTCTTTTTTTTTTTGTTTGACAGCTCTTCCCCGGTTCTTTGCACTGGATCCACTGATATCTTGGCTCTTTGCCCAGAACGGGTTGGCCACCCCTGTGCTAGGGCATTTCTGCTCCGGCATTAACCACTGGCTGGGGGAGCAGACCAATTCCCCAGCTGTGTTAAGAGGCCCAGGAAAATCCTTTAATGCCACAGCCTCCGGGCCAGACACAACAACCATCTCGTCAGGACCTCCACCCACTCCGACTTTGTTCCAATCTTCACCCCCAGCCAGGCACTTATCTGCGCCTGCTTCTCCTAGCCGCTCGGGTACAGCTGCACTGCATTGAGTCGCAGAGCCCAGGCCCACTGGCTCCAGCTCGCAGGGCTCAAATGAACCACACACACCAGTGGGCCGAAGCCAGGAGTGCCGGCTCTGACCTGGCCGAAGAAGCTGTAAGAGCCCAGGTGCTGTCCGCTGCTCACAGAGCTCCCAGCCCACCAGGGAAAGCTGCCCGGTTCATTGGGCAGGAGACGTTTGCCATCTGAGCTGCCAGCTGCTTGGCCTCCCTGCAGCGCCCTCTGACCCGGCCCTGCTCCCAGCCCCTCTGCCCCCCACTTACTCCGCCGTCATCTGCGCCACCAGGTCGAAGGATGCAAAGCCCGCGTTGACGAAGCTCTCCTTGTACCGTCCCATTTTGATGGCGTCGAGCCAGTCGCCCACGGTGGTGAAGGTGGTGTAATCCGGCACGGTGCGGTCCAGGAGCGGCTGTGATACGCTGTGAGGACAAGAGAGCCCGGAGGTAACGCGGGGGGCATGGGGTAGGTACAGGCGCTTGCCCAGCACAGGTGGATCATGGGCCTCCCCGCATGGTGTCTCCAACTGGATCCCTTAGGTTTCCCACCTCCAGCCCCCTAGGGCAGGGGTGGGGAACGTAAGGCCAGGGGGTGGATGCCCCAGCTTGCCTGGATCCAGTCCCCGAGGCTCCCCCGCTGCGTCGGGGAGCCCGTGATGGCACTCCAGTCCCCCCCAGAATCTACTAGCCTGAGGCTCTGGTGTACAAGGGGAATGTGGGGAGTGTCTTTCTCCTCCTCAGTTGGGAGCCATGTCAGTGAGGGGCTGGTTGGGTTGGCGTTTTTCCTTCCCTCTCATGTGCGGCCCCCAACTGATTTTTCTGTGGGTCAGCAGCCCCCCCCCGCTAAACTCCAGGGGGGGCAAAGGGACGAGAGGCCTGGCGAGGGCACTGACCCCGACTGGACGCTGGTGACGACCTTCAGGCTGGCTGCGTTGCGGATGAGCTTGTCCAGAGTGTTCACGATCTGTGCAAACTTGGGCCGGAGGTTGCGGTCCCGCACCCAGCAGTCCAGCATGAGCTGGTGGAGCGCCGTGGGGCAGTCCATAGGTGGCGGCAGGCGGTAATCCTGTTCCACCGCATTGATCACCTGCCAAGACACACACACGGTGCTCAGAGCTGCCGGGAGTCAGCCAGGGTCCCTTGGTGCCGCTGCAGCCTGGCGCCCGCCCGCCGTCGCACTTACGTCCTGGTTGGACATGTCCCAGTAGGGCCGCTCTCCGTAGGACATCACCTCCCACATGACGATCCCGTAACTCCACACGTCGCTGGCCGAGGTGAACTTGCGGTAGGCGATGGCTTCCGGAGCCGTCCACCGGATCGGGATCTTACCACCCTGTGGGGAGAGACACTTAACTCCATTATTTAGTGCCTACCTCCGGGCTCCCCCGGCCCCAGCCCCAGCCCTCTGCGGCAGGGCAGGGGGCACGCCACCGCCGAGAATCTCACATACCAGTGAGCTGGTGTAGGTGGGATCCGTGGGGTCGTCCTCCAAGAAGCGCGAGAGCCCGAAGTCCGACACCTTGCACACCAGGTTGCTGTTGACCAGGATGTTGCGGGCGGCCAGGTCCCGGTGCACGTAGTTCATCTCCGCCAGGTACTTCATGCCGGCCGCGATGCCGCGCAGCATCCCCACCAGCTGGATTACCGTGAACTGCCCGTCGTTCAGCTGCCGGCAGACGGAGGGGAGAGGTCAGAGAGCCCCCAGTTCGCTGCTTCCACTGGGGGCTCAGGTGGGGTTCTGAGCTGCCTCTGGAAGGGGCTGATGAACCTGCTTAGAGCCTCCCACCGCCCCTCCCAGCAGAGGAAAGGGAAGTGCATGCGTAAGGTGCCATCAATGCCCCTTCTCCAACAGGGCTCCTCTCCTCCTACAACTCGGACCCCGGGGCCGGCCAGCCCCGGGAGAGTCCATGTGAAATGCAGGGAAGCAAAAGTCGTGGGCAGAGCGCAGAGCAGGGCTGCCCAGTCAGAGAGAGGAATAGGAGCGTTTCCACCTCAGCCTCCTGTCCCCCTACTCCCGTATGGCACATCCTGCCCCCCGGCCCAGCAGGCCTGGTGCCTCACCCGGAGGAAGGAGTCCAAGGCGCAGTTCTCCATGAACTCCGTGACGATCATGACCGGCCGGCTCTTGGTCACCACGCCCTCCAGGTGGATGATGTTGGGATGGTCGAACTGCCCCATGATGCTGGCCTCGCTCAGGAAGTCCCGCCGCTGGCGCTCTGTGTAGCCCACTTTCAGGGTCTTGATGGCCACAAAGATCTCCCGCCGGCCCGGCAGCTTCAGGCGGCCCCGGCAGACCTCCCCGAACTCCCCTGCAGGGGAAGGGAGGAGGTTACACCCCGAGAGAAGCCACTGGCCGAGCGGCAAGATGAACCGTGCCCGGTCAGGTGACTTGCCTGCTCCAATCACCTCCTCGATCTTGACACAGGAGATGTCGATCTCTTTGGCAAACTCCCGGACAGCCTCGTTGGGGTCCTCGTAGGTGAAGGGGTCGATGTAAACCTTCATGCCGGGAGTGACTGCGGGAGCAGAGCCAGTCAGGCCCCGTGCGAGGGCATGGCACCAGCAACGCCCTCCCCCACCCCAGCCTGCAGCGTTGTGGGAGCCCCAGGGTCTAGGCCAGGAAGCCCAGCGCCGGACGCCAATCCCCCACCACAAAGGGAATCGTCTCTTGTGTTGCTAGGGTGTGGATGTGCACAGGGACCAGTCTCAGTGCCTTGCATGCAGGTGGGGGTGCAAGGACCAGTCACACGGCTGCAGCATGCTGGGGGCACAAGCATGCACAAGAGCTTGGGGTCACACTCACTGTATTGCTGCAGCTTTTCCGTGTACTCCGAGTCTGTGCTGCTCCGCTGCTTCCTGCCAAAGGAGACGAGAACCGGTCAGGGCAGTCCAGGCCTGCTGGGTGCCGAGGGGGCCGCAGGGCAATCCAGAAGGCAGCCGCAGAGCAGATACACAGCTCTGGCGTGACGCAGTGTCAAGAGCAGCACCTGCCCTCCCCTCCTCCCGGTACCGGCATCCTTGGCCCAGAAGCAGGATACAGGCCTGGCCTGCAGAAGGGGCCTTTCCTCTGGGCTTGGCTTCCCTGATTCACACGGGCTCAGCGGCCCTGCGAGGTTTGCAGTGGGCGGGGTGGGACTGTAAAGCACATGGGGGGAATCAGGGAGCCGGCCCCAGGAGGGCTGAAGGCTGGCTCCTGCTTTTTTTTTGGGG